GTCTTGCATATAATATTTGGCGTCGCCGTTGCCTCTCCACGGAGGTTTTTGGTCTCGATGAGGCTAGTGGGACAACGCTCTTAGCGTCGTCCAGTATCCCCACTCCCTGCTCCATCAGAACCAGGACAAATCAAAGCAACTCGGTGACGGCAGAGATAGGCAGAGCATACATGGATATGGTGTGGGGCGAAGGGTTTTACGAATGCAATTGCTCACTTACACACGTGCAGTGTCGTAGTCGTCAAGACTATGTTCCGGTCGTACAACATTGGACCTGTAGATTGCAGCGAATTGCATCATAATCTGGAGATTCCAAGAATAATGCGAAAATACTCAGGTTTAATGAAGCCAAGGTGATGAGGCTGCTTTGTTGCATCAGAGTCCATCACATCGTACAGACTATTGATAGCGAAATTGAGGCATTTCCGGAGGCTGAGTCATTTTTTTATGGATGAGTTGCGGTTCTGAACCTCTGGAAGTGCCCTGACCAGGCAGTGCGATGGCGAGGATCGGGGAGCAATCCAAAATTTGGCTCATCCTAGCCTCGGACAAACCCCGTAACTGTTCGAAAGAGTTGACGAGCTGTCATAACTAACAAAGCAAAAGAGAGCTAGCCGCGGAAGAGCCAGCTTCCGCCGGCACTGCTCTTCGAGTGAAGAGAGGGTCTCTCTAATGTGATTGTTTGGTGGGCCAATGGATATACCAGGAGTGTTACCAGTATTGGTGAAGTGAAAGATCATGAGAATCTATAATTCCTTTTGCAATATTGTTTTGGTGTCATGTTATTTTAGAACAAGTGTAATTTGGCCTTTATCTCTTCTGGAGAAGAGGAAGAGTAACATCATTCCAGCTAGTTAGACGGAACTAACCTAGCGGTGGGTATAAATCTTGGCTGGTAGCTGTTACGGATGTCGTATGAAATTGAGCGGGCTGTAAGCAGCAGCAAAGGATGAGTTTTCATCTCAACATCCACATCATGATTTTTGCTACGAAACGTCAATAACAAGTTGACGCTCTGGCCAGGCTTCACTTCTCTGACGCTGGATTCAAAGGCCTAACGACAGGCAAAGCAGGCGTGTTTTCCTTGCCTAATTCGCGATCCAGATTCTACATGATTTTGCACTCTCATCAGCAATGTAAATTTGTCATGGAGGTGCGAGTTTACCCAACATCTGCAGCTTTAAGCGCAGGCTATACTCTCTAGAAATAATAACCTATGGGTTGAAAAACTCTTACGGAGAGACTTTCTGATGTTTTTTTCGCTTTTTTCGCTCTTGTTCGCGAGGGCTTCACCTCAGTATGGCTGAAGCTTCAATTGTTTGAAACCGACACCACGGCGTTACTTTTACGCTAGCAAATGAGCAGGCCTGGCTCCGCGAGCCAGGTTTAGCTCGTTGATGACAAGCTAGACATCGTCGTGAGCGCTAAGAAGGGGGTTTCATAACATTATCTGCTGACGGACACGGAGTACGCTACATGTACAGAACGAAGACTTTTTGCAATGAACGTTTACTCCGTGGAGAATGGCTATACCGTGTGTCATCGAGTGAGGACGGTGGTGTTTGATCAGGACTCAAAGCATTACACCGACCGATTCCGTCAGAGAGAACCTCGGCATTATCAGCAAAAGAAATTCTTAGAGCGTCGGTCGCGAGGTACGCGCTTTTTTCTGGGGCTCGTTGTGCCATTTTTCGGGTGCACGGTAGGGGATATTCAGTGTAAACATTCTCCGAGGAGCAGACACGGATCGGTGAAAAGAGTGAAGGTAGACTTCAAACACAGTAGTTGCTCATGGATCATTCGCTTTTGCGCAGTATCTTTAGAAACAATGAGGTGTGAATCTTGGTTCACGTCTTAATGAGCGATGGTGGTGGGGTGAATACTGTAACCCTAAAATCTTAACCTTACTGTCTGGTTACCGCTGTACAATATCAGTACTGGACAGTTCACATTGCACTCTTGTATAATAATAAATATTTAAAGGATAGGTATTTATGAAGCTCGTGGGACTTCATGAAGAGAGTTTCTTTGCATGTATGGGTTTCTAGCCTCATGTCAGACAATCAAGTCATACTACGAGTGTATGTGCGTTTAAATAGCAGAGCAAACTAAACGAGGAGGTACGGTACAGTCACTCGATTGAAGCGCACGAACCCAAACATTTTGCGTTTATTGCCGCCGACTCTTTGATTCAACGCTTTGTCAGTGCCAAGTCCGATCCATTGCAGCAAGTAAGCTGCCACTTGAGCGATAAACGTGGTTAACAATGTACACAATTATTACTGGGTTCAGGTGCTAGCACAATCGAGTTTGCGCTTTCCAGACATTCAAGAGACACTACTTAGCAATTATGTAATACCTACGCTGCCTAATTCAGAATTGGAGTTGGTGCCTAATATGGTTCTAATGTCATTAAATGTGTTTATGACTACAGGGGGGTTATCCATAAATTGCTCAGAATTTGAGTGCGCCTCTTCGTGACACACCCACCGTCACTCCGTCTTTATCCTGCTTCAACGCCGCTGTAGCTTAACTCATCTTCAGTAACAAATCCTCCTTAACGGTCACACTCCTCACCCATGGCCAATAGCGTGGATCACTCAAACCCCATCACCCTTTCTCGTTTTATTTTGGCCGAGAAGGAGATACAAGGCAATGCTGATCTTAGCGTTCTCTTCACGTCCATTGAGCTGGCATGTAAGGTCATCGCCAGTTCGGTACGTCGTGCGGGTCTGACGGGTCTTTACGGTCTTGACGGCTCAGAGAACTCAACCGGAGACCAAGTGAAGAAGCTTGATGTGCTCGCCAACGAGATTTTCATAAACTCGCTTAAATTTTCGTCCAAGATTGAGGTCATGGTTTCGGAAGAAGAGGAGAAGCCTATTATTGTGCAGAGTGATTCTACTGGCACAAAGTATTGCATTGCTTTTGACCCGCTCGATGGCTCGTCCAACATTGACTGCAACGTATCAACTGGTACTATCTTTGCGATATACCAGCGGGATGCCACGTCTGAAGGAGGGTGAGAAAGAACTTATCGAGATATTGTATCAGAGAAGAATTGTAGTAACTTTGTATTCTGCTATTGTAGCTACAAGGATATCTTGCAACCGGGTAGCAAACTTGTGTCGGCTGGTTACTGTATGTATGGGAGCTCGACGCAGCTGGTGCTAACTTGGGGCAGCGGCGTGCACTGTTTTACTCTGGACCCGACAATTGGAGCATTTATTCTCTCACAGAAGGATATTCGCATTCCAGAAGAACCTAAAACAATATATTCGTGCAATGAGGGCAATTACGCCCGTTGGGATCGTGCCACGAGGGCATTCGTGGATGAGTGCAAGACCAGACCAAATCCGTACGCGGCACGTTACGTCGGTAGTATGGTGTCTGACATCCACCGTACGATTTTATACGGTGGAATTTACATGTACCCGGCCAGCAAAAACGCCAAAGATGGTAAACTTCGTTTGCTCTACGAGTGCAATCCCATGTCGTTCATTATGGAGCAAGCTGGTGGCATGTCGACCACTGGCACAGAACGGATCCTTGATCTTATTCCCACGAATATTCACCAGCGCTCGTCAATTTTTCTTGGCTGCAAGCGGGACGTCGAGCGAGTCATATCGTTGTACGAGGAGTATGGTGACGCATGAACTCCTGCAGTTGGGCAGTAGGTTAATGCTCCTTATATAATCTCAACAAAACAATCTGTGTCTCAAGGATTTCTTATTTCAGCTATCGCCATCACATGACGAGTTTTTGATTGTCACCTACCATTTTAAACTAAGGGGATCAACAACGCGAAGCAGGGCCTCGTATTCATGAAATTTTTTACCAGAGGATCGAACATAATAGTCAGTAAAGGTGCGTCTGTCTCTTCGACCTGAGCGGTATGCTTGCACGATGAAGTAGCAATCACTCGTGGCTACCTACATCTTTGGTTGCCAAGTGAGTGGTTCTTGCCATCATTAGTTCTCTTAGTCCATATAAAGCAAATTTTGGATACCTTCCTTGTACTTTCACAGAGCAAAATTGCAAGCCCGGCTGTCAACGTGTTTTCGATTGGTAATGTGAGCGCGAAAGTCTCTTTTAACTACAACAAGATACTTCGAGCGTCCGTGAACTTTACATGTCTGCTACAGCGTATTTGTAAGCCTCTTCGCTTACGGCAGCATTGGCATTCTGTCGCATCATTATTTTTTCCTCCCAATTTGTACCGCGCACAACACCGTCCCAACGATAGCCTGGCTGAATTCCAAAGCGATTAATTGGGGCAAGTGGACCGGCATACTTTGGTTTTGCCATGCTTGATTTCTTGACCTTCTTGCTCCTCTTTTTTTTTCTATAGCCATCCGCCAATACATTATCTTGGAACGTCTTACTATTCATAGGGTCGAATGCACGTACGCGTTCCCGTCGCATGCGCTCGAGTTCTTCATCGTCTTCATGCCGAGCAAATGGTGCCTTCTTGATTTTTTCAAGCAACTCCTGCTGCGACTTGCGCTCTCGCTTCTGTACTTCACCAGTGCCCCATTCGTACTCTTCACGCTCCTTACGCTTGCGTTTACCATCCAAAACTTCCTGTTGACGAACCAGCTCATTGAGCATGTCAAGCTTCCGGCCACGCTTATCACGATACACCGTTTCAGCATTGGCGCCCATTTCCGATGAGTCAACACCACGTAAGACATCCTTCTGCTTTGCTGCGACTTCGCGTTGACGTTCAAATTCAGCGGCTGTGAATAGGCCTGCCTTCTTTCCATCATTTGCCCTTTTAGGCTTATCGTTCATCTCCAGCTGTTGGGTCGCAGAATCGCGCAATTTAAGTTCAGGATCTCTGGACGGAGAGATTTGTGCTGCCGTATGACCACTTCGAGCATCATGATTACACTCGGATCTCGTATTCTTCTGCGTCTCACATCGAGTACATTCGCGCCTGCTATCTTTCATACGAGAGCGGTGACGGGGGATCGCTGAGATTCGCTTCGACGACATTGAAAAATGTAGCTGACGTGTGGATGGTGACCGAGACCGACTATTACGATGGCGAGAGCGCGGGGATCGACTGCGACGCTGACGTGCTTTACTTTCCTGGTTAGTAGGACTTGCATCACGACTAGCACGACCTGTTCCACGTTTCTTTTTTTCAATTTTGGTGCAGCGTTTGCTGTCTTTTTTGTTTTCAAAAGAAGTTGAACGAGAACGTCTTTTATTTCTATTGGAAAGAGACGGGATATCCCGCCCGAGAGAGTCCACATGATGATGGTGATCAGGATGACCAGTTGATCGGATTGGATGGTCATGAGGTATCTTTTTAAAGTTGATTGATTCACTGCTATCTTGTCGAGGTTTTCGAGGCGGTGATGCATCATCAGCTCTCGGCAACTTCACACGAGATGGGCGAGATATCCTAGAAGACGAAGCGTCTCTACCCTGTTTCTCGCCCTCATGCCTATGTGTATGCTTTTCGTTATGCGGCTCCGATGCACTTGTAATACTTTTTTGGCTAGACGCTGTTCTCGCAGGTTCATAGTGTCTTAGACGGGGAGAAGCGTCGCTGCTCGCGTTATCCTTGCTCTCGATACGTCCGAAAGCCTTCTTTCTTGGTGGAGATAGGTCTTCATCATTGCTAATATTCTGATGGTTAGTTGTCCCATGGATCTTACCAAGATACTTGTCCGAATCCACGAAAACTGGCAAATCTTGCGGGTCCACCTGCTCTCCGTTGTCTGTAGCCACCACCAATGGCAGCTCGTCGTCTGCAGCGTCCATTTCCCAGTTCTTCTCAATCTCTTCTCTACAAGGCGCAGACTGCTCCCACGCATGGTCTACGTCTACCATGCGTGAGCCCAGCTGGAGAGATTCGGCCGTTCTCGACTTTTTACTTTTCTTCTTTTTCTTGCTTCCGCCGTCAGCCGTGCCTGCAAACGGATACGTGATATAAGTGGATGAGCAATAACCTAGCTCCATGTATAACCGGGATCAAAGTGTTGCACTACACACCTCTACAAGTGTCGGACAAATAACGCTGCAGGTACTCCAGCTTTGATGGCATAATGTTTTATAAATATTCACAATCATCATGTACATTTTAAATAAACGAGAGACTCACAATGTCATATTTACAATTTCTATGATCTTCAGTGCATTTAATAAAAGTTGCGGTAGTCGCACCGTCTAGCGGAATGAGAGTTCTGAGTCGTAAAACTGCTGCACGTTACGTTGTCTCGCACGCTTCACCGCGACAATGGAAGTACGCATCATTGTGGCGACGGCCCAAAAGCTTCGGGAGATTTGCTCGACGAACGTCACGATATTTCTTGTACATGATGTGAGTACCACCACGCGAGTTGTAGCGCATCCAGACGCCATAGTAATTGATCGACCACACGACAGTTCTCTCAGTTCCGCATAAGAGGCAAGACAGAAGTCAGATAAATGATCGAGGTGACAGTCTTTAAGTCCTCGTCCCCGTGGGACACTCAGAAGCTGGAACTAAACAATGGATCACACCGCCATCGTACCAAATGACAGAGCGGTTTTTACAGCTAAAGTGAAGTAGTGACGTGAGGATCCTGACGGATCTCTACTCTCAACGCAAAAAAGCACTTGTGAAAAGGTTGCAGAAGGTTTGTACGACACACCAATCATGACTGTGCCGTACGTAGGAAGGGAGAATGGTCATGACCTTTTACAATGAAAAAGCTTCACCGACCGAAGATATTTCGCTGACGAACCGCCTTAATGTCTAGAATCTCATTTGTGGTCTTTTTTTCTGATGCAGAAAACATCAGAAGTGAGCCTGAGCTAGTACCTGGTTCAGAGCAAACAGCTTGATGCGGTACGCTGGCGGGTTCGGCTTCTTAATGTAAGCTTTGCGGACTTGAAAATTGCCGGAATTGTTGCATAACGAATAGCAAAAATGTGGTGAATTAGACCAAAGAGTGGGCAACAGCCTTCTTTCTTATTGGCGCAAAGATTGCCTTGATATTATTTCTTACGTTTTATACGCTTTCAGCATTAAAACAGTCACAACATATCTGTTTGATAATATGTAGCAATATATTCTGAACGAAAACTATGATAAGAAAGACTAAGTTTAATTACCTTCTGCATAATTAGCTTTCTGAATGGTCTTGTATAACGTATGCTTTGACGTTAGGGTATAAAGAGAATATATTATCCTTTTTTGTCAAGGGTACGTTGTTTTAGGTTACGTGATATTTTATTGCTTCAACATCGCTTTCAACACAAAAGACATAATCGATCCTGCTGTAAGGCCGATGGACAAGACGAAAAAGATAATGCTGCCACCTATCTCCTTTTCGGCTGGCTTACGAAACAAATCTGGATATTCCATGAATGCGAGAGTGCACAGCAACCCGTTGGAGAAGGCACATGCGGCTATAAACAACATCGCCAGCACATCACTACGGAAAATTACCGTCGTGATTACTGTGTCTGACTTATTTCGCAGGTTGCACAGCATTAAAAGGGGAAAGAAGATGATGCGAGCAATACTGGCTAAGAAGACATTTTTCTGTCCCAGTCGTGGCCACCATGAAGCAGAGAGACGCGCTATAAAGTCTGATATGTTGAATAGAATGAGCGTGAATGGTGTGAAGAGTTTGTTGGACCACAGATCCCTTTTCGGCTCCATTGACTTGATCGCAGACGTTATGCCAGGAAAGACGCCTAGTGTGACGATAAAAACGAAAAAAGTAGCGGCAGCATAGAATCGGATCGTAAAGGCGACTTCCATCACATCGACCTTGTTCGAAAGCTCTGATCCTCCACTTTCTTTATCTAGTAGGGGGATTCGTGGTGAAGTGTCGATGGAATCCATCGTGTCGGTCTCACTTGGTACATCGTTGATATATTTTTCCTGACAATCAGGACTCGAATAGCAGCGAAAGAGTGACATCCGCGTGAGAATTGCGAACGTCAATAGACATAGAACCAGCGTTATGAACACGAGGACGAAGTACAATAGAGCACACAAATCAGGGCTAGCGTGCAAAGCGTCAAACCGCCGGGCAAAAGCCTCATCAGCCCACAAAATGATAAAATTCGACAGCGATACCGCCAACCCAGCGAAACTCTGTCCGCTAACTACAGCCTGTGTATACTGAGGTGGAAAGGTCGAAACAATGCGCAGTAAACCCTCCTGCATCAGTGTGGACGCACAAGCAACCAGTAAGATGCTCACTACGGTTGTGTGAAAAAATGGATAGCCTGAAATACAGATATAGGTCAGGTAGGTTCACTGGATCTTCATTAGTACAAGTTCGTACCATGAAATTCGGGCGTGCGTGTCCAGGTACAATGCATGAACATGATGATCATAATGACGATAAGCGAGAAGAAAACAGTTCGAATGGCGCTTGCCATGCGCTCAGCGAGGACAATCGTTCGGACTAGCATTGTCATCAGCGTGCTGACGTTAAAGGCCATACTGAACCAGTTTAAAAATGAGTCTTCGTAGGCAGTTCCCTCTAAACGATGTTGAAAATAATCTTGTGCTGTAATGAATACGTTCCATGGTAGCGAGGATCCAACGCCGATGAAGAAGAAGATCGCGAACATGACCCCAGAAATGTGCTCCATGCTTATTAAAGTTCAAAAAAAAATTTCGCTTTGAAGGAGTGGTCCACGTCATTTCCGCGGTCAAAATTGTGAACTTACATGCTACATTTTAAAAACTCTTAGAGAAATTTCGTATATCAAAGAGCAAATAATAGGGGTGGAAGGATTCAAAAGATATCGAGAGGGTACATGTATGAGAACTTGACATGCGACCGCTTCGTACCCAGTACGAGCATCCATATCATAACAAGCGATTTTGATCGTTTTCATAAGTCTGGCGTCGCTGTCGTCGACAATATTTATAGTGAAAAAACTGAACGAAACCTAATTTGTAAACATCTATTGTCAACTATGCTGATACCTTTTGACCACATTTGCGCGGCAACAAAAGAAGCCACATTTTCTTCTGGTACTGAGAGTTTTGTAATAAGATTTATCGACACAATTTACAAAGCTCCTCAAGTGTCAGAACTGGCATAAACAATACAATTTTCTCCGATTGTTAAACTTTGGCGTGCGCCATCTGGCAACAACCGACAAGTTGCCGAATTGCCGGATTACCTTTTTCATTTATGTTAATATTCCATCTAGCTGCAGCTGAAAATTTTTCGCAATCCTCTAGATAAGCAGCCACTGGAGCTTTATAGATTACTCTTTTGCTCTAATTTGGGGCAACCAGTCGTAATATCGGGATAGTTATTGTGTTTTCTTACACATTTCTGATATTGTAATTTGGCACACGAAAAAATGTCATAAATTGGAAAATCCCTATCCTCTACCTCAACTGGTTGCATATTGTGTGCTGTTCACATTTGTCATGCTCAGTGCATCGTATTAAATCATCGCTTGTGTTAGATCCTGTACATACAGACTGTAGCTTCAGCTGCATTTGTCGCCGCCGAATTGCCTTCCGGCCAAATCGACTTCGCTTGCGCTACATTCATCAAAATTTTTAAAATATCGCAAATTACAATGAAGCAAACTTGCTCAAATTACCTGTGGTATCGCAAACTCTAATGCCTTTGGCCAGTCATTAAACTCTTGAAATTTACTCAACACGTCAACAACTGTGTTCACATTTAAAATGTGATCCAGCCTTTCGACGATACATTCCTGTATTGGAAGCCGCACAGTTACAATTCCTGCATCTGCAGCTGCATTTAGTGAAGCTCCCTGCAAAATGTTGGTGTCCACGTGAAAAACTTTTTTTAGCTGAATTCAAATTGTATTTCGCACTTACTTTCTTACGGGACTTGTCCACAATGCCACCGATCACGTAAATCTTTGAGGAATCCAATTTTCGTAGCACATTAGGTGAATCTGGGGATAGATACACAAGGTTCTCAAGTAAGAAATGGTCTGCAACGCTTTGAGCATCACGTCGCCACTGGATGCACCAATTTTTGGCGCCGAATCGTTCAAGCAAGTGCTCCAATCTCTCGCTGGGATTACAGAAGATCAACTGAAACGGCTCTGGCATCTTCTTAATCTCCCCATAGCAAAACTTCAGTTGGTTAGCAAGGCTTCGAATTTCTTTATCGTTCATAATACTATCATAGCTCAAATCAATGGCGATCTGTTGACTTGAACTGTTCGCTGCGGACGCTCGCTGCAGTCGTCGCTTGAGCTCCTCTTTCTCTGCAGTTTCTCGCTTCAAAAATGTTTGACGCTCTTCTGTTTAAGAAGTTAGGAAAGAGAGGTGATTCATACATATATAGTTTTTTCGTTGAGAATGGAAATAAAACGCACCTTGGGTCATTGAATGCAATAGATTAAAGCGCGCCTTCTTCTGGCGATTTGCTTTCTTCTGTCGCTCGAGCATTAGGCACTGGATATGTGAGCGCGGAGCCGCAAGAAAAGATGAGGTTGCAGCGTTGGCACCTGCGTCAATTGTGGTATCGCGGTCCAGCAAAGTCGGAATCAGTTTGAGCCAAGTATATGCCTGGTAAACGTTTAATTTGCTACAATGACAAATAACTGTATTGATACTCAGCAAAAACGCGCACAAAAACGCGTAATTTGACAGTAGACAAGAAAATATATTGGTAACAACAGCGCAAATTTGCAGATAAAGCATGATACTTTCATCGAGAGTCAACTTGCTAACTGCGAACTACCAAGTCTGGTGCCCTGTTGACGTCTAGTTCAATTCGTATGCTGCGGGAAACGTATGCTAAACTAAAAGTTTCTTATTGCCACAACATGGTAGCTCAAGTACTGTAAAATCCAGGGTCGCCACTTGTTGTTGATCCAAGTCACCACAGTGAGTAGGTGCATCAGAAGCAATAATTTAAAGAAGTCTTCGTGGTCGAGTGAACACCATGTTGGTATGTACAACAAATTTGAACGCTCTACATCTAGAAAAGAAACTGGTAAATGTTTCGTGCATTTCTGCTTTTATATATTTCTACTGGTAGCGCAGGAAGCCAATCATAAAAGCTGCGTAACTTAGCTGCAGCAAAACAAGCCCTAAAATAAGTTCCTTGTCACATCACAATTTGATTGCGCGTTTACAGCTTGTTCATCGACGCAATGTCTACCGATTGCACGTAATCTTCAAAAGCCTCAATCGCTTCCGTAATGTCATCGAGCAGCACAAGTTCATCCACAATAACGCACTGCACAAGTAGCTTTTTGATACCAAAAGCAACAGGGACCAACTTGTGACCCTCACCCCACGACAGACCTTCAATTGGCAAGGCCTTGATCTTAACGGCCAGTTCCTCAAGATCCGTCTCAGCCTCCCATGGCTTCACTTCGATGACAACCTGAGAGCGTTCCACGGGCTTCTTTTTTTCCTTTTTGGCAGCCTTAGCGGCCTCAGCGCGCTTGGCAGCTAATGCCTTGGCAGCCTCGTCGTCTTCATCTTCATCGTCGTCGCCAAATAGGTCGTCATCATCGTTTCCATCATCTTTGACCACCTTGCTGGAAGCAACAGCAGCCTTTGTGGTAGCTGTCACCTTCTTGGTCACTAGAATGGCGCGCAGGCCCAACCTGGCAGCTACATGCACATACCAACGGTAGACATTGGCGTACTTAGCAGCATCGGGTACAGACAAAAACTTGTGAAATAAATCAGCATCCGCTGAGCTAAATTTGAATCCCTCAATGTAACTGCGGCTTGTCAAGAAACCATTCAGCTTCTTCAAGCCACCATCTTGGTCCAGGTTGTCGAAGGAGATGCCCATATTAAAAACAAAGGTAAAACCCGCTGCTTGGTCAGTGATGGATGGATCTGCAATCAAGGGAGTCCGACATGGCTGGCACAGGAGTGCCGATGGCTAATTTATTATACTCAAGGTTAAAGGCATAGTAAAGTAAATCTGCGGGTTTTGCTGGTCCTATTTTAACTACGACGCTTGCAAATTGAAAATTTATCGGCATTCATTTTTTTTAGATTTAAATGTCTTTCTTAAGAACTATCAAAGATTTCTCAGCGCATACTTAGATTTGAATGTACTATCGAAGAAGCATTGTTTGTAAAAAAGAAATTGAATCATAGAATATAGATTTTTTCGCAATATTAGAAAATATGTAAAATAACACTCGACAGACGGTGCAACGGAGTAATGTTCAGCAAAAAAATGCATGTACTTGTCACTATTGCCACAAGATATTTTAACAAAACACAATAGTGGAATTATGAAGCGGTATCACTGGTACGAATAAGAGTGAGGGAGCACCGCTAATGAGAGAACCGTGGAACACGTGAGTTGCTAGCATGAAATACTTGAATTTATATTATAGTAGTATTTACTTCTGATTTTCTAAATTCAAATGTGATATTAGCTCAGCTCTCACTATATATCAAGAAAACCAAGTAGTTATTGATTCCTAAGTGGCGCTCGGTGGACACATCCGCTGACAATCAATGGAGGAGGACTCGCAGAGTCACGGCTTCCTCGGTGCAGCTTATACAGAAAACCTGCTGTATCACTTGTCATCAACCCCATGATGGAGTCTAAATACGACTGTATTTCTTAAGATGAAACAAAAGTTGTCGACCTATGTGTCCGCGAAATGTGGTACCGGACGCTGTACTAACAGCCTTCAAAGAAATGTCCTCCTCCTTCATCAAGATCCAACGACCAACCAAACGATGCCAACCATCTTGCTGAGTCTATCAATAGAGACGAGCACCCCATTGTGGCCATTCGTATTCTCAAGAAAAGCCAAACAAAGTCGAGACAGACTAACTTCCAACGGTCAGTAGGAACAAAGAGAATTTCCGGTGGTGCCTTGCGCTCTTTTCTTGCTGAAAGACATCGCATGTCTTTACGTATCGTTCCACCAACTTGTTCATGTGGGGCCACCAAAATTGGGGACTGAGAGATTGATTAATCTTCTTACGGCCAACATGACCGGCCATCAGCGCATCATGCGCATCTTATACTATCTTGTACTGCAAATCATCATTAGGGAGCAACAAGTCATGGCTAGTCGTCACGTGAAACGCCGTAGTGAAGGAGTCTATCCTTCCATGCATAACGATGCAATATTTATTTCAAGCAACAAGAAATCTCAATCATAGAAATCCATATTATTCGATGACAGTGCTCTGATGATCAGATCACATATTCCTCCTACGACCTAAAATGTGATGGCATTGCGGAGGTTGTGTTTTTACGTTCGAGGGTCGACTTAGCGGAATTACGCTCATCATCCGCTATGAATGATTCGGCTCTCGTGGAATTTAGACAGCGTATGGAATCACGCAGAGGATCAACAGGTCCTAATTTATCGCTTGTTATGAAATATAAGATGACGTCCTTATTACGAGGCCACCCTCTGGGCTTCCACTCGAACGTGAAGTTCGACACAAAATTGATCGTAAACCTGGTTCAAAGCATGTAATGTGACCACTATCGCGTGGGCAAAACGAATACATCAATGATTGTTTTGCTTAAAGCAAGTTGCTGGGTCAGGGAGGGAGAGCAAGCCTCCTCATAGCGCGCTGACGTTTGGTGTGAGTAAACCAAATGGTAAATGGTGTATTGATCACGCCTATAACACGTTAAATGCGTAGACGATTCCCGCGCAAATGCCGTTCCGCGTAAAGATTACGAGATACCCAGCTGTACACAGCTCCGTGTAGCGATTTCATTGATTCCAAAGGTTTGGCTAAATTGTTCATTGATCATAATTTTCACAATCACAGATTGCCAGACGCCATCGTCTCTGATCGTGATACACGATTCACGAGTGGCTTCTGGAAAGAATTGATCCGACTTCTTGACACCTGCTTGGAAATATCAACCGTGGTACACCCGGATGGGCAAATAGAACTTACCAACCGAGTGATCGGAGATGTGTTGAGAAGTTTCTATACGAAAAAAATCCGCATAATAGAGCCCGTTATTATCATTGGTTGTTTTTGCTATGAACAAATCATTCACTGGATTTACGCAATATTCTCATGAACGGCTTGCGACACCCGCTTAAGCGATGGGTGGTGTTTTTAATATAAGTGGGGAAGGACCTCGGCAAATGGTTGCCTCTTGAATTGATACAATCAATTTATGCGCATGTGAAACGCAAGTACAAGTACGCCCTGGAGTTATTCATCATGAGTCGTGTACACGGGTGCGTAGCAAAGGAGTACGCAGACAGACGAGGTCGTGCCCATTGGCGTCGTCGCCTCAGCATTGCCCTCGGAATGACAGAGATAATCGGGAACGCCCGAAACAGAGCGCGATCGATTGGCAGGATGTCCTGCGTCATCAGCAGAAGTTGCTGCAACAGGCGTAAGAGCTAGCAGAGACTGCTCCAATCGGTAGATCTGATCATCGATTGCGTCCACACGTGAGTTTCCATTACGCCATGCGAAGTTGCGTATTTCGTGAGGGACCTGTCAGTTATCCTCCACGCGTTGTCGTGTCGACGACACGCGATCGGTCACCGCGATCAGCCGCTGGCTCATCAGCGAGAGAAGCTTCTTCACCTTCGTGAGACACAGTTCCAGGGGCGGACGAAGGCCGTAGGCCAGCCACAGAAGAAGCAGATGGGACGGCCGCTCCAGTCACCCCATCCTCCTCGAAATCGACAAAAGAATCGATACTTCCACGTCGAGAACGTGGTGCCGGATTGGAACGTCCACGTTTGTATGGATCTCCTGGTGAATTGCTGGGGTACTCATCGAGCGAGCATTCGTAATTTTTCGTGGTGACTGCGCCATTATCATTCGGGTGTTCGATGCGGTCCGGTGACGAACTCCGCTTAGGGAAGCTACCCCTAACTCCTCTTTCCCCGTCCCTTTCATCGTGAAGCCGAGTAATGACAGAGCTTCTATACGAGAATCCTCGTCTGCGCTGCCAAGTGCGCAAATCAAAGCGCATATCACGCACCTTCAACAAGTCAGCAGTGGATCTTGCCCTTTGCCAACGGTGGATGTCGACGAATTTGGTCGAATGGACCCATGCCCAGATTCGAATGTCGATTGTCGGGATGGAATCCAGAATGGATTGCTGGACGTATGGAACATACGTGAGGCTTCGTAGTTTGCATCCAGCACGTGTAATCGGCTCGATGGCGCAAAAAGACGCGACTCGCGTCATCAGTCGAGCACCCATCCGGCTAAAGAGTTTGTCGAACTTTCGGGTGGACCCACCACGTCATTCGTATAAGTCGTCGTGACGATCAAGCTCACGATTGCTTGAATTCGCTGAATGACGTGGTATTGGAATAGAAACCAAGCTCGATTGTGACAAAATCTTATGCGGATCAAGCGTGTGGGTTGTAACTGTAGCGAGAGTTAGACATAGTGATACGGAGAGGGGAAGAAAAGCTGAAGAACGATTTGTAAAATTTGGGTAAACCCACTTTGAGTGGGAAATGGTGTAATGTGCCAGATATGTTGTGTAGACCACTAACTTGTGTGTATCACATTAACTGTAGACTATGTATAGCGGTATATCCCCTGTCACTTCCATTTAATCAGAATTAAAAGAACTTATCATAATAGGGAGGTTTGAAAACTACTGGCTTTAATTGTAACGGAGTAACACGTACGCATATATGAAAGGGCGGGTCGCACAGGATGGTGTGACCGTAAATAGGTGTGGATTATACAAGTTGGTGTAATCACACAATAGTGTGGCTGTACCGTAACAAGAAGCCACCACGTGGAAGGATTGCCAATAGTAATGCATATTACTACATTAATTAGGCTTAACTATATTAATTAGGTATTACTATATTAATACAAAAAACATAGGGTTTTAGATCTGCCGCAACTAAAACAATCAAATACAGTTTCAATTTTGAACGGAAGAGTTTGCTTACCTTGGTTATAGTCTTCAGTACTCTTGGAAGCAGAGGATTGCGATCCGCTGCATTTGTACTGATTCTTATAAATAACGTATGGTCGATGACCTTAGCTAGCTTTCTCTAAGCAAAGAACTACGGCAGCTTCGCTGCAATAACATTATGTATCACCTCGTCTTTCCTCCTCTCTACGTAAGTCAACGGCCTGCAGGAAGCGAGCAACACGCGGTGAGGCGTGTCGGTTTATCTAATCTTCCTCAGAAACGTATGTGTACGCGGAGAGGTAATTCCCGTGACAGGAACTCTTTAAGCTGAACGAGAGCTTCTGCCTGGGATGGTGATGGAAGGCTTACGTCCCAAGGACTACACTGGTTAATGCATTCAGAGGTAAACTATTATTAGCCCATGGAGTCCCACTGATCCGGTAGCTGGGCGCCACCGTTACATCGAGACACCGTAAAGCACTCTTTTTGTCGACCCTTCTACTCGCGACTTACTGTTGTCTGTTGTCACAGACTTATGTTTGAGAATCGCACTCGAAGCTGCTCTATACTGTCTCCACGAGATATTTTCTGGAGACAGTGACACACAATCTCTCAAATTGCGACACCCACCGCTTCTTCGAAAGAGGTGGGGTGACGCGGAGTGTTTCGGCATGAGCCACACCTGTTCGATGACCCTCGATAAGATGACAACGGTTATCCTTTTTCATAGAATGTTTAACGCCATTGTGGTTAAAAAAACTTGCAAGTCTTTGTTTGATGGGTACACAACAACTTGGAACGCGCCACATACACCTCGTTCGTCCGTGCTAACAGCTATGACATATGTCATTCTAGTATCTGCCATTTTAGGAATGCATCTTACACAGAAGCAGAGTGCCCATTTCCGCATCCGGCCTACAAGCTTGGAGACCACAAGCTCGAAGCGCTGGATTTTGTTTAAATCATGTCATAATTCAGGGCCATCATAGCTTTCTTATCCAAAAAAGAGAATGTTCTCGATATCAGCAGCATTAGATGGGAGCTGGTTGCGCTCAAAGCTGGCTCATACCTTTTTGGAGTATCTCTGGTAAGTGGCTCCAGGAGATCAATCGCCGATATTGGCTCTTGGATGCTATCGTCGAATGACCAATCCTAGACATAAGCTTAAGATATGTTATAAATAGTGCTCCAATCGTTTAGAGGGTACAATCCTTCCACGACTCGGTCGTCGGATCGATAATAATGCTACCAAGGAAAATGGGGTTACCGTGCAACTTACACAGAGAAAGCTGATCCAAAAAGCCCACGTATACAACGCACATAGTTGGGCTCGTGCGCCTTACCCAGGTGTGGAAACGAGAGCTTTTGAAGTTGATTTGCACTGCTATTGCAAGAGTAAC